TTTCTTTTTTTTTTTGACTGTGGCTCATCAATTTAACATTTTTTAAAAATGTTTCACTTACAGTGAGGGCTTGTTTCAAACTCAAAGCGGCGGCTGAAGTCTCCGTAGCCCGCGGAGGTGCGCGCTCTGATTTGAAAGATGTACGCTGAGGAAGGTTTAAGGCCATCCACAAAAACATCCGTCTCCTTTGACTTGATGATGGTGTAGCTTGTTTCCTGATCCTACAGAGCCACCAGAAGCCAAGAGAAGACAAAAACGGTCAGAGAGCAAGAGAACGAGGGATAAAGGCCTTCCGTCCCATGAGAGAAAGGCAAAGTGTGTGTGCTGTGGCCAGTAGTGAGGATCAGTTTCACGGTCTCATTGGCTTTGTTTTAAAGCCCTGTGTTAAGTGCTCTGTCCATTAGCTTTCATACGAGCGACCAAGGGTCTTCATAGCTTTTTTAGTCTTCTAAGTGCATCGTATCATTGTTTCACAGAACGCTTTAAAACACTGAGGTCATGAGGAGCTGAGGCTCGTTTACAGACGTATTCTGTCTTTAAATGGCTCAACAAAGCAAGCAGCAAATGCTGCGAGGTGAGCAGCAATCAGAGACGCGATCGGAGAGGGGATTTAGTTTCGGGCTTTGTGAGGATTGTCGCCAGCGGGGTGGTCGACTGAGACGCCCAACGACAGCCCTGCTGCTGTAACGCCACTTCATTAGAGGATGAATCCTGTCATCATCTACTCAACCAACTCATGATGTTGCACAGATGTCTCCTGGAGGAATTTCGAATAGTTTACTGGTCGCTGTTTTCCATGCATTGACAATGACTGTGGACTAGAGATTTCAAGCTTGTAAATGGAGGGCAAAGGCCAGATTTACTAACAACGTTCATCGGCACTAATCCTCGTTTGGTGTTAAAAACTACTTTCATGATTTACTAAATAAACGTAGTGAAACTTAAGCGATTATAAAGTGTGCACATGGTTATTTTTATGGCTGACCTTATTTCGTATGCATTTGTATGAGTTGCCCTTTCAGGGAAACTGTGATAGTTGCGCTGTGAGAACCAGAAGAAATAAACATTCTGACTGTTTTTTTGTTTTCTTTAGAAATTAGATAATTCTGTATGCAAATATTAGATACTTGTCTAGCGTTTTTGCATCTTTTTTGAAGCCTAAAAGCTCCAGTTTCCAATCACTGTAGCTGCAATGGAAAATAACAACCAGTAAATTATTAGACTATTGTGGCCCAAAGCCTTATTTATTTATTTATTTTTAAGGGGGAAAACGTGAGCACAATCTAAAATAAAGATGAAGAAAGGGTAATCTACACTTTTTCTAATCTAATGTAAGCAAATTTGTGACACTGACAATGGCAACTCAAGGTCAAGGTCAGATTTCTGGGCCATATAGTTCTTTACAACATTTTCAAATCAGGCTGTAAAGCATGATCACTGAGTTTTCACAGGAAGTTCCTGAGGTTTGCTTTTGGGGCCAAAAGCTTACCAACACCGACTTCTTCCTTTGGCCTTGCACTCTCACCCCACACTTTCACGACTCAACCACATCGACGATTGGTTGATATTAGCTCAATCAGAGTGGATGGCAGTTCGACGTCGAGATGTCGTTCTCGCTCACACGAAAGAGCTGGGGTTAAGACTTAATGCCAAGAAAAGTGTGCTTTCTCCAGTACAGAGAACCACTTATCTGGGCGTGTTGTGGGATTCGACCACAACGCAGGCACGTATGTCTCCTGCTCGGATCGAGTCGATCCTCACCGCAGTCGAGAGAGTGAGAGAAGGTCTGTCACTCACTGTCAAACAGTTCCAGACAGCTGGGTCTGATGGCAGCCGTGTCCAACGTGGTTACTTTTGGCCTGCTGTACATGAGACCCCTACAGTGGTGGCTTAAGACCAAGGGGTTCTCCACGAGGGGAAACCCGCTTCACATACTCAAGGTAACGCGGTGGTGCCTACGTGACTTAGACATGTGAAGGAAACCTTGGTTCTTATCTCAGGGCCTGGTGCTGGGCCGCATATGCTAGCAATGGATGCATCTTTCACCGGTTGGGAGGGGTCATGAGTGGCCGCTCGGCCAGCAGCCTGTGGAGTGGCCGCCATCTCACGTGGCGCATAAGTTGACTGGAGATGCTGGCCGTGTTTCTAGCTTTGAAACACTTCCTCCCAGGCATAAGAGATCGCTATGTGTTGGTGTGCACCGACAACACAGCAGTGGTCTTTTATATATGTTGGGGCAGACATCCTTCTTACACGTTTCCTCTGCGGTGCGCTGAGGCCGAGGCCTCTGGCCAGAGAAGCGTATGCTAAGTGGTGGATCAGCCTTGAGCCCTCTGATCTTCCCTCACCTTCGGGGGTGAAGGCTCATTCCTCTAGAAGCTAGCCTTCGGGACGGTGGGCCCCGCCTACTTTAGCCATTCCTTGCTCCCTTTTCTCTCGCCTTAGTTGTGCTCTTCCACACTAGGCAGGGATTTGCAAGTCTGGCGGCGTGGGCATTCTCGTTCCTGTAGCGTTTCGACGCAGCTCGAGTTCCTGAAGGGGAACGTCTCCAGGTTACGCATGTAACCATGATTCCCCGAAGGGAACGAGATGCTGCGTCTCAGGGCCATACTTCCGGCATCCCTGCCAGCGCTTGCTTCACTTCTAGAAGCTGACGCCGGTTTCACCACACGTGCTTTTATGCTTCCTAGTCGCTACGTCACTCCACCCGTGACGTCTCACCCATCCATTGGACTGATTACATGAGATTCAGAGGGTGGTCACGCTGGAGGCGTTCCCGTAGCGTTTCGACGCAGCGTCTCGTTCCCTTCGGGGAACCATGGCTACATGCGTAACTTGGAGGCGTTTTCTTTTTTCCTACTAATTTTTTTTTTTTTTATTGAAATGTATGCAGAACAGATGTTATTATTATTATTATTATTATATTATACAGATGTAATGTTATGATTTTTCAGGATTATTTGAGGAATATAAAATTCAAAATAACAGTATTTATTTAAAAAAGTTTTTTGCACCACATACACTAAAAAAATTTTTTTAAGGTAAGTGGTTGCAAACAATTTATTTTAGCTACAAATTAAATAAAAAAAATGTTGAAAGTTAGTCAACTAAATTAGTTTATTTAAATGTAGCTAAAATACATTGATTGCAAGCACTTACCTTAAAAAAAATAGCACATTCAATGAATATTATAATTTTGTTTTATTGTAAATGTATTTACTGTCACTTTTATTCTGCAAAAAATCCATCTTTCAATAAATCTTACCAAAAACCTTTGAATGGAAATGTATCATGTTTTTCTCAAAAACATTAAGACGTGCAGCTGTTTTCAACAATGCTAATAATCAGAAATATTTCTTGAGCAGCAAACCAGCATATTCAAATGATTTCTGAAGGACCATGTGACACTTAAGACTGGAGTAATGATGCTGCAAACTCAACTTTGATCACATAAATAAATTACATTTTAACATATATACAAATAGTTATTTTAAATTACAATACTATTTCACAATTTTACAGTTTTTTTACTGTATTTTTTTTTTTATCAAATAAATGCAGTCCTGGTGAGCAGAAGTGACATTCGATCTGTAGCGTATCTTTTTAAGTAACATAGAATTTTCTTTCTTTGTTTCTTTTGATTTTGGGCTGAAATGTAACCTGGGAATGTTTACAGCATGCAGTATTTACCTTCTCAAAATACTTGATCTCATACTCCAGGATGATGCCGTTGGGTCGGTCGGGTTCTTGCCAGGACACTGCGATGCTATTCTTCGCCGTCTTGCCTTTCTTCACTACGGTTATAGGAGACGGAGCTGGGAACAAAACGGTTACATCTCACCTTACTTTTCACCTCAAATCAAGCAGAACATGTATTTTCTTGCGTGATGCAGTGAAGCCCTGATGCAATGTGCTGTAATTGTCATTTGAAGATTTTTCTAAGTCTATATACTTGAGACTTATATTTTATAAGTCCAACCCCTCAGCTATTCCTAATTAAATGAAGATATCATATTGTGCTAATTACTTGAATGAGTTTCATAAAGTTCAGAGAAAAAGCCATTCAGAAATATGAAATATTCCACACTTCAGTGGCAGAGACAATCAGAGAGAATGCCTTTCATCTTAACTATTCGATCGCTTTGAGAAAACGCTTTGAACGTGGATTCGGGCAATGACGTGCTTTAATGTTTGTACAACCTAATTATCGCAGATGAAAAATGCATGGTGAAATCTGTCCTGATTTACCTCCTTCCCATAAAGTCCCAGACATGACATAACTCTCAACAAGTATGAAATTGTTTTATAGTTTATATAATTTGTCCATAAAAGAGTATGAATCTTACTACTTAGAATCAATTCACAATATTATATTATGGTGGAGTTTAAACTCTATGTAGCAAGAGTGGTTTTTAAATACTGACTTTAAATTGCTAAATAAAGCATTACACATATTTCAAGTTGCATGAAAAAATTGAAAAAAAACCTCTATAATTAATAACCTGAAGTGTCTCTCTCTCTCTCTCGCTATATATATATATATATATATATATATATATATATAAAACAAATCTAATTTATAATGAAAAATAAATATAAATAAATATATATTTAAAATAACTATTTAAAAAGTACAATATTTTAAAAATATACATATTTAAAAAAAAATAGCTAATTAAAATTAACAAAATATTACTGTGAACCATCGTTACTAGTTAATTTAATTAAATGTTATTATTTTAGTTTTTTATTTTATTTTATTTATGTTTTTATTTAATTTACATAAGCAATTATAATTGTAGGATGTTTTAAAAAGAATTGAGACAAAATCCGACACAAAAAAGGACACAAAAACAATGTATTACTATCAGAACTATATCATAAACATAGTCCATACAACGCATGCACTATATGCCAAGAACATTTTAAGGAGCAAATTTAATTAAATGACTCACTCAAGAACCAGATCACTCCAAATAGTATATATATATATATATATATATATATGTGTGAACCATTCAGACTGGTTTTGTGAATCAACTTGATTCAAAATAGTCCAACTAAAAGAACACATTTGATTCTTCTTTACACAAATCATAGATAATAGTGCTTTTTTTTTTGACTGCTAAAATGAGGTATCATGCACTTTTGCATCTTATGTAATGATTTATATATACTGTGTGGCTACTTGGGATATTACATTATATAAATCTGAGACAGACTTTATACTGTTACTAGTTATATTGCACTGTACACTCTTAAAAATAAAGGTGATTCAAAAGGATCTTCAAGCGATGCCATAGAAGAACCATTTTTGGTTCCACAAAGAACAATTCAGTCAAAGGTTCTTCAAAGAACCATCTCTTTCTTACCTTTTTATAATCTGAAGAACCTTCTTTTGCCACAAAGAACCTTTTGTGAAACAGAAAGGTTCTTCAGATGTTAAAGTTTCTTTATGGAACCGTTTAGACAAAAAGGTTCTTCTATGGCATTGTGAAGCACCTTTATTTTTAAGAGTGAGGGATTCTAAGAAAAGCTCGTAAAACTCACATCCGGTGTAGAATAAACACACAAAACATATCGCAAAGCAAAAAACTTTAAATTCAATTGTTGATTTTCCCAATTCTTTCTCCTCTGCTTCTCAGTTTTCCTCCCAAACAGCTGTGTTTGGTGTCACTAATATGAGAACACACATTAAAAAAAGCCCCTATCTGTCTATGCGTGGAGAGCTGAAATCAAACCCGGCTTTATATTCCTCAACAGAAGTGTCAGACTGTGTCCATGAGATAAATCGTGTTTAAGTTCTCCGGACGATCCCTCAGGCGCTGATTAAATAGCTCAATAGAAGCCCATGATAGGAAAGCAAAGACACGTCTTTTTTTCCCCCCATCCTCTCTTTCCCAAACAAAGAGTAACTGTATCCTTTCTGCTCAGACAAAACTGTAATCATTCCTATCTTAAAAGCTTTGAAACGGTATACTTGGCAACCTGATCTTCAGGCCTGCAGGAGAAGAGAGGTAGATGGGCCACTTAAACAGTCTGGAAACCTGTTAAATGTTTGACTTTCAGTCAGGCGGGAGACACGGCCCTTTGAGTTATTGATTCTCAATAATCCTTAAGGTCAGCACAGGGAATTTTGATCTATATTGGTGATGGCAAGAAACAAAAACATCAGCAGGGGATCCATCAAACAAAATAGTCATGCTGTGTGACAGAGAGTGAGAATATATATCCAAACGCACAAATGTAGGTAGGCCCACGCAAAAATCTTTGCCCACAGAATGCGCCGCAGATTTACACCGAATCTGAACGCACACATTGCATGTTATATACGTCTCTGTTCATTTTGAAGAACCACTGAGTTTCTATGATAATGTGGTCCTTAGATGTGGCTTGAGTTTCTCTTTCAATGTAAGTCTGTTGGACCTTTCTGCTGAAGTTTAAAAGGGTAACTCACCCACAAATTTAAATTCTGTCACTATTTACTCGCACTCGTGCCATTCAAATATGTATTTTATGTCTAAAACAAGTACATAAAGTACATAAAGACATCACAAAAGCAGCCCGTACAAATTAAGCTGTTTAATACAAAGGGACATGCTTGCTTTTATGATAAAAAAATTATTCAATATAGGTTTGGAAAAAGTGAGTAAATGATGACAGGATTTTCATTTTTGTGTGAACTGTTTCTTTAACGTGCAATTCAGGGTTTGTTCATACACTGTAAAAACAAACAAACAAACAAACAAACAAACAAACAAAGAATCCATAAAGTTTACAGTAAAATTTTAAATTAGATTTTCAAAATGCATTAAGTGTTGGTATTAACATTAACTGTGATTAATTAATGCTTTAGAAGAATTTTACATTGATAGTTATTGTTAACTAATGTAGTCAACTAAGGTTAACAAAGGAACAAACATCTTTCTTTAAAAAAATACTGAACTCCACTTTAAAAACATGGGTGAAAAAGAGAAAGTCGCATGATGAATACAAGTTTGTCACAAGTGGTCATACACACAAACACAAAACACCATTATGGTTACACAACTTTCACAATTCCAAAAATGTTTAATTTAACTGTATTTTACTGTAAAATGACATGAAATGTTTTAACATATAGAGTATTTTGGATTTTTTTTATCATACTTTGTTACATGTAAGTGTAAACCCCATTTCAACATACAGAAATCCATTTAGCATCTAATTCCACAGATATTCCCTTAAAACCAAATGTAAAAATGTGTGCAGATTTGGTGTAGACCTATACGGCAGCACAAAGCCAACCTTCCTCTGTGTGAAATTTCACAGTCCTATTTTAAGCTCAGTGAGAAATTTCATCTACAGTAGCATGCTTTGCGGAATACATTGTGGACCGTCTAATAAATGTGATAAAACCAGATACTGTGTATTCAACAGCTTGAACTGGATATTTTCCATTTCCAAAAGACCACAGTCAGTAAATCAAAACACTGAGTTGCGAAACGAAACACAGTCAGCTATGAAATGCAAAGTCCTCGACAGTCTCATCACCAGTGACAGCTCACAGTGCAAAGGTCCCGTCTCTCAGTTCATTAACAGATGGAACGGCAGTCTTCTTTGGGAAGCGTGTCAGAGGAAGTGTGATGATCGCACTCTGATTAATACCTCCAAATGGGAAGTGTTGCCTTCATCTAGTGTGAGAATCTTCAAACTCGCAAAGGCTTGATATCTGCGCCAGCCGAAGAAACAGCATGAAATGACACTACTTCCACACTGAACTCATGTAGCGAACTATTTTTGTCTTTTTTTTTTTTTTACACAACCCGAGCCGCTTTAGCTTAGTTAATCGCAGCTGTCAACAAGAATCCAGCTTAGCGTGAGCAGCATCAAAAATCAAAAACATCAACACTGACTGCAGGCAGTATTGGGTTTTGTGTAGGCGGAATCTTCCAAGCAAATATTTGCATGTGATTTAATTGAAGTTAGCATGCCGGGCCGTGGTTTTCATCTGGGTAAGAAAGGTCATCTCCTCCACTCCGGTCCCGAATGACTGCCAGCACCAGGATCTCAACAGGCCGTGTGTTTGTAAACAAGTGTTGTTTGGGGAGCCCTGCCGAGAAGCAAGATGAAAAACCCCTGGCAGAGATGAGCGGCCCATCGGCCAAATCTAGGCCTGAGATATAACTCCTGCCAACAGACGCCTGTGCCAGCCAGAGGCCTGGCCTGAGAACTATAAACTACTGAACACAATCTTAACTATTTGCCAAGCGTATCTGCCCTGATGCAAAGCATCTGGCTAGACAGATTCTAAGACAATGCCAACATATTTTCTTAACCAGCACTATCATAGTCCATTCAAACGTTTGGGTTTTTGAAATATTGTTCAGCAAGGCTGTGTTTATTTGATCAAAATTACAGTAAAATACAAATAACAATAACTTTATCATTTTCAGAAATGTGCACTTTGAAACTTGTTTTCAAAGTTTGCATTTTCAGACCCACAAAACACAGTTGTCATTTTAATGAACGGCCGAAACACATAAAACTTAGCGTTTTTAGTTAAAAAATGGCATTGTGAAAAAATGATGTTGTTATGTTAAGCAAGCATAGTTTGATATTAGCTCGCTTAGCGTGTAATAAAATGTGACGCTACTGATTGGTAAAATAAACATGTCACTGGAAAGCTGCAGTTTTAAAAATGACTGCCACACAATTGAAAGTTAGTTGCGTCAGTACTTTTAGTTAGTTACTTTCTAAAATCGATCGGGTTACCATCTGCAGAGACTCAAACAATCCAGTGCAGGAAGTGCTGAGTTTAGTAAAGCACAAGTGC